CCCTTCCTCCGGTGGAAACGGAACATCCTGTGGCCAGAGCGTCGGCGTCATCCCATTCTTGAAGATCAGATGCGGACTCACGTCTGTAACAGAGACACAGAGAACCAATTTTATCTCCACCGATTCCAGGCCAACTCGCGCGACGGAGGAATTTTTGCGATTTTTGTTAGAAACCCGGACTACGCGCGGTACCACACGCGAGACCATTCAGGAAGAAACTAACTACGTGTGTGTATATGTGTGACAGAGACCCACCGAGTGGAAAGAAACCCACCGTGTCTGCGCTACCATATGTACCCGACGTATCGCGGTGTACCGCGGAGGAGATCGCGCCAGTGTCTCAGCAACCCTCTCGAACCCAAGCGGTACCAAGCCAACGCGACGTTCCAACCTTGCGCTTTCTCGGTATCCGATCGTATCGTATCATCGATATAGTTATCGTTATCGGTACAAAGTCTCCGATCATCGGGTCAGCCGATCGCTCAACGGCGCGTCAACCGAGTCCGTCCGAGTTTGCACCCCTTCCTCCACCTTTTCGCGAAGAAACGTCGCGTTTCGACACAGCGGGGTATTATAGGCTCTAGCTTGGAAGATGCGGCTCGGGGATAGTTAGAGTTAGGTGTTACGTAAAGTAGATGCGAGATTAGAGAGAGACAGAGAGAAAGAGAGAGAGAGAGAGAGAGATTCTATCGTATTTCGTTATAATCGCGTGCTCGATTCGTACGATGCGACGAAGAGAAGAGAGGGGAGTTGCAGAGGGCAGAGAAAAAGTATACACGGGTGGATTAGATGAGGCAGGCGGTTCACAGGATACGGCTAGGACACGTTAGATCAGGGGGTGTAGTAGACAGCCTCCTCTATCTCACAGCTCACCAGCACTCTCGCGTCCAGCTCAACCGTTCTCGTCATTCTTCGGTTGGCCATTGCCGGCAACGAAGCCGATGTTTCCGTCGATGTTACTCGACGAATTCGTGAGAAAAACTGCGAAATCGCGAGAGCAAACCGAACGCGTCTGTTGCCCGCTGTTTTGTTTTTCTTTTTCTTTTTTTTCTTTTTTCGGGAACCGATATACGCAGATGTTACGTAAAAGGAAAAAGAAGGGGAGGAACGTAAGAGGGTTAGGCGAGAAACCGGATGGATCGAAATACGGCAAACGAAGGAGGAAAAAAATAAAGAAACTAAAGAGAAGGAGGAAGAAGAAGATGAAGAACGAAAGAAAGAAAAAGATCGAGTTTCGCAAAGGGTGATTTTGGTTAGTCGAGTACGAGAGAAGAAAGACAGAGTCGCGGCGATGGAACGAAACGGAAAGAAAATATGCGACGAATGGAGAAGACGAATGACGGCGAATGAAAAGGCGATGACGACACATTGTATGATTGCGACATAATTAATATAACGATGAACGATGAAGAAGAGATGAGACGATGGTGGTAGTGGTGGTGGTGGTGGTGGTGGTGGTGGTGACGGCGGTGATAGTAACAGTAAGAACCGGTGAATGGGTCAGTGTGGTTGTGGTGGACGCCCTCTGGGAGTCTGGGAGGCAGAGAGAAATGCTCGCCTTGGTGTGTGCGGACGTGCTGATTCAGGATCGCCTTCTGACGGAAGTGTTTTCCGCACTCCGGACATTGGTATGGCTTCTCACCCGAGTGGATGCGCAGATGCTGGTTGAGGATGGCACGCTGCCGGAACGTACGCTCGCAGTACACGCAAGCATACGGCTTCTCGTTCGCGTGTATGCGCAGGTGCTGCGTTAGATGCGATTGTTGCCTTTTCGCTTCCCGCACTCTGGACACCCGTATGGCCGACTGTCCGTATGGATCCGCTCGTGTTGCAGCAGCGTCGACTTCTGCTTAAAATCTTTGCCGCATGTCAGACACTTGAACAAACGTAGATCGCTGTTTGCCCCTTTGCCCGACTTGCCGCTCTGCTGGACAATGTCCGGCAAGCCGGTCGCCATGTTCGGTGCCCCGGGGCTGGCGTACTGGTGAGCGTCCAGGCTTGGTCCACCGTCACCCTGGCCGAGGGACGTGAGCATCACGCCCGGCTGCTTGAGATAGTGCAACGCGGAGAAACCACCGGGGGTGAGCATGTGCGGGGGTACCGACGGCGACGGATGCGGCCTAGCCTCCTTGAAGTAGTGCTGCGGATATTGCTGCAACTCTCCAGCGCCGGGAAAGCAATCGCTGCGATCCACCTCGTGAGGTGTCAGCTGTTGTTGAGGCGAGTGATCCTGCTGTTGCGTCTGTTGCTGCTGCTGCTGCTGTTGCTGTTGCTGCTGTTGCACTTGCTGCTGCTGCTGCTGTTGCTGCTGCTGCTGCTGCTGCTGCACTTGCTGTTGCGTCTGCTGTTGCTGTTGCTGCTGTTGCTGTTGTTGCTGCTGAGAGGTGGCTTGATTCGATTGTATATCGTCGTCGGGTGGGGTTAAGGCTTGAGGCTCAGGCGGTGCCGAGGGGTACGGTGAGGGCACGGGAGAGGCCAACGAAGGCGGGGGACCGCTTTCTCCCTCGACAGGGGGACCACAGGCCTGCTGTGGACTGCCGGACGAGGAGGAGCCCTGCTGTTGCTGTTGTTGCTGTTGCTGCGGGTACAGTCCCCCGTCCTGGAGAGATCCCGGCCCCGGGCCCCATTGCCCCTGGGGTCTCTCCATGTTGTCCTTGTATAATACGTAGGGCGCGCCAGTATCTGGAATCAGACAAGTCGAACGAACCTTTATCGATGCGTGCTCGTGAAAAGTAACAAGCGTCCGTTTTACTTTTGTCGTTGCTCGCTAACGGGACATGGTTCCCGAGGGGCAATCGCTAATTAAACTTTCCGCTTCCCTATGTTATAATAACGCTCGCCCACTACACGGAAAATCTCTTCGATATATACCCACGTGCCTACGCACGTAACGCCTATTCCCGCGAGTAACCGAGGGCCCCGCACAGTCCCGGCATTCTTTCCTCCTCTCTTTCCAATTCCCAAGCACCGAGCTTCGCAACCCCGCATCGAGAGAGAGAGAGAGAGAGCAAATCGCTCCGCGCGTACGCTAAACGTTTACGCGTAATCCTATTAATTTCTCCGTCGTTAACCACCCGGTATATTAGATCGGTAACGGAAGCGTGGCCATATTCTTAACACGCGCCGTGGCTGTTACAAGCAACGAACGCGCGTGGTACTCGATTCGTCACGCTCGTAAAATTTCAGCCCGAGACGATCGCTTTGTACTACGCGTCAAAGTGGAAACGTACACCCTCTCCCTCTCCATCGCTCTAATTAACAATCGTTGGACGTTTCGCGCGGCGTACCAGTCTCCATCTCCTCGGGGTCTCGGGGTCCGCGAGGGAACGCTAGTCGCGGGGCAACAACCGTTCCCCACCGATTCTAATCATTCGAGACGACGTCGACGTCGACCACCGTCGCATCGTTCGGCAACGACTTTCGAGCAAGCGAAACATTGTATCGGATCGGTGGTGCACGCGCTTTCTAGCACGTCGAATCGACCACGTTCCTGGTCACGCATGGTCAGATACGTCCGGTTCGAGCTTCGCAAGTTCAACGGCTGTTATGCAGGTCGGATGCACGCGGGGATACACGTCCGCGCGAATGATTTATGAAGTGTTCCACTGTATCTGCGATGTCGAATCTCCCTGCCCTTCTGTGCGCGCAAAAACTCCGCCGTCTCCGCTATATATCCCTCTCCGTCCGTTCGTCGCGCCACCTTCGCCCCCGCCTCGTTCCCCACACGGGCGTCGCCATTTTTCCCGAATATCCAGGGGAAAGGGAACGCGTGGACGCGACCGAGGTCCGCGTTCTAATCCGCGCGTCGTCTTCCGGGATGCGAGAAACCACGGGAAACGAGAGAAGAGGAGGGAAAATCGGGAGAAATGGGGGAACGCGATAGAAGGGGTAGCGGAAGCCCGGGGTGCGTGGCTGGACGTCGAAGGTAACTCGGACGCGAAGAGAGAAAAGCAACGAAGAGCGGAGAGGAGAGGAGAGGAGAGGCGCGGCGCGTGGAAAGAAGAGCGAGACAAAAGTTATAATAATCGTGGCCCCGTAAATGGGATCGTGTCGGGCGACACGCGTCCGCGGCAATCACGGCTATCACGTACAGTCGCGTTACGACGAGGAAAACAACGGGTCCGTGGCGCATCTCGCGATTATGGAATTCGCATTATGCAACGTTACACAAAGTGTTCCGTTTTATCGGATTAATTACCTCGCTCTTTATTCCATTCTTTCGTTTATCCGCGCGGCCGTGTTAACGCTGCCCGCTTCTACCATACGCGGATACTACTCGCGCGCCTCTTTCAGCCCGTCTTTTGTTTTTGCGTCGGGGATGACGCATCGACGGATTATCTTCGCTGCTCGGGTCCGTTTATTAATATCGAGCCACGCTTTCTTGCGTACGCGTCCTCTCTTTTTCTCTCTCCCTACCCTTTCCCTCCTCTCTCTCTCTCTCCCTTTCCCTCTCTCTCTCTCCTTTTCCTCCATTTGCATTTATTCCTTCCTTTCTCTCCTCTCTCTCTCTCTCTCTCTTTCTCTCTCTCCCCCTCTCCCCCTCTCTCTTTTCCTCTTTTTCTGTTTTTCCTCTTTTTTTACACGCCGCCCCTCGCCCCTCTGGTTGCACACATAATCGAAGGGAAAGACACGCGTATCGCCGTGGCCGTCGTCGTAGCGCACTGGCTTTTGTTGCTCGTTCGCGGACGATACGTTTCAGCGGCGGTGACAAGTGTTATTGAACCTCGCCAGCGGAAAAAGATACGACGTCCGCGCGGACAGGCTGACCGCGAGCGTTAATCGTTGCAATAACGCCCCGGTGCACGGACTTGGCCGAAGCGACCGGCCAATCCAAGGAATCCCCATGGATTCCGCGCGGCACTTTTCCTCTGGAAATTTAGACAACACCTAGGAACGACGGATCCCAATCTCCCACGCCGTCATTTTTCCACCAACTTTCCTTCGCGAGTCGCCCATCCACCACTACCACCACCACCACCACCAGCACCAGCACCACCACCACCACCATCACCATCGTCGAATTCGGCTCTCGCGATTAATCCGAATCGTACCAACGACCATCCTTTTTTCCTCCCTCTCTCTCTCTCTCTCTCTCTCTTTCTGTCCCTTCGCTTCTATCTCCACAAACGACGCCTTTTTTCCCCTGAGCGCAAATGAAAGGAACGCGCTCGCCGCTGTTCATCACGCTCGATTGTTATATATGTCTTCCGATACGGCTGCTTGGCAGCTGATGTACGCCCGCGATCACGGAATCTGCGGCTCGAGGATCGATCCGATTTATGTCCCAACGCCGAGGAATTCCTCGAAAGCTAGCGAACGTTCTCTCTCTCGCAGTCGTTCTCCCGACCAGGGGGAAATTTCCACGCGTTCTTTCGGCCCCTGGTCGTCGTCCTCGTCGCTGTCCTCGTCGTCCTCGTCGTCGTCGTCGTCGTGAATTTCGTCACGGGACGGAGGTATCGTGCGTGTCCCCTGGAACAGTTAACGCGACGACCCGCTTTGGTCGATCGACGGAAAAATAAGGACGTTGGGAAGCGATCGTCGTTTCTTAAGTGCTACGAAATATCTGTTAAATCCGATCACGGTTCGCTAGATTTAACGGGCCATTCGTCGGGGGACATTATACCGGGAGAACGAACGTAATCTTCCATATCTTGCACCTTCTCGATCCTATGAAACGATCGTTCCTCCAAAACGTTACGAAACATCGGTTTAATTCTTCCCCCGAAGATCTATCAAATATTCAGCGCAAACGGTGCACCATTCTCGTCCAGATTTACCTCGTAAACATATATATATATATATAAAAAGTCTTTTCCACGCTGCCAACGTCTTCTCCATTTACTCCCGTTCGAGTTTCTTTCGGCGAACGGAAAATGAGAAAGCAGAAGAAAGAGAAGAGAAGAGAAGAAAGAGAGAAAAGGGGAGGGAAAAGAGGGGGGTAGAAAGAGAAAGGCGTCGGAGAAGAAAAAGAACAATTGTCGCAAACGCGATCATTGATTCGCGCCGGTAAAGTTCGAGTGGCGCTGAAACGGGACGATTCGCGAGATTCGCGAGGCAAGAAGCGATGCACGATTCATTTTTTCCCCCTGTTGCCCCCCCCCCCCTCTGTCTCTTCCCTCCTTTTCCATCTTTTTTTTTCGCTTCCTTATCGCGCGACGTCAGGATTGATCGCCTGCATCTACATAACATTATCGCTTATTTATTCCGCCGGCTGTTACTGAAACGGTCCCCCGTATCATTAATTACGTTAATGAGTTTGCACGAATATACACGCGAGCGTGCACACGCGTGCGTCTATATACGTACCGTGTGCGTATATGTACGCGCGCGTGTATACATGTATGTGTGTACAAATATATATATGTACATATATATTTGTACCGGCGTCTCGTAATCAATAAACGAGTCTCGCGATTTGCATTAAGGAGACGAGCGCGCGAGTCGGAAAGAGGAGCGGCGAGGACGAAAAGATTTCGCGTGGCTCTTTCCTCCTTTTCCGCCATCGCTCGCGCGACTTTCAAACGACTCCGACGAGTCGCGGCTTGAGGCCATCGCGAATCGTCCACGCGATTCGCCTGCATTTCCAAACGACCCGACATACTCCTCGAAAACCGGTGACGAGAAGGCGACGGAGGAAAAGTTTCACGCTGTGATGCAAGAAATACGCCGAAAACACGCTGAAAATATATCGGATCGGCTAAACAGGTGGCACGGTTAGGTACCCTCGCTCCGAATCCGAACACACCTCGGTCCTCCTCTCGCAGGATTTTTAAACGGCTTTCGGTCATCGCGAATCATCGAGGTAATTCGCTTGCTCTTTAAAGCGATCCGACGCGCACTTCGAAAACTAGGGACGAGGGGGCGATGGAGGAAAAGTTTCGCGCCACGACACAGGAAGTACGCCGAGAATACGTCGGATCGACTAAATTGGTGGCACAATTAGGTACCCTCGCTCCGAATCCGAAGACAACTCGGTCCTCCTCTCGCAGGATTTTTAAACGGCTTTCGGTCATCGCGAATCATCGAGGTAATTCGCTTGCTCTTTAAAGCGATCCGACGCGCACTTCGAAAACTAGGGACGAGGGGGCGATGGAGGAAAAGTTTCGCGCCACGACACAGGAAGTACGCCGAGAATACGTCGGATCGACTAAATTGGTGGCACAGTTAGGTATCCTCGCTGCGAATCCGAGGACAGCTTGGTCCTCTCGCGCGATTTTCAAACGGCTATCGGCCATCGCGAATCATCGACGCAATTCGCCTGTATTTTAAAGCGACCCGACGCGCTCGTTGGAAATCGGAAACGAGAGGTCGAAGGAGGAAAAGTTTCTCGCCATGATGCAAGAAATACGCTGAAAACACGCAGCGAATATATCGGATCGGTTAAACAGGTGGCACTGTTAGGTACCCTCGCTGCGAATCCAAAGACACCTCGATCTCGACGCGACTCGTGCGAGGATTTATCGGGATAAATCGTCGTGCCCGATAACCGTGACTTTGAATTCTTTATCCGAATCCGCGCGTTTGCATAATTTATTCCGCAGCGGCGCGATATCTCGCGCGATCCCGAGGAGCGACCGTTTGGAAATCGGACGCTCCCGTCTTCCGTTCTCGGCCTAAAACCCACGCGGATATTCGCGGATATTCGTTATCACGGAGGAATCTCGATCGGTGCGATTTGACGG